TATTTGAAAAAAATATATTCGTAGTTGGGTTGTATTGTTTTATTTTATATTTTCGTGATATTGAAAATATCAGAAATATGCCCTGGTTTATATTCTGTAGTCAAGGATGGGTGGGGTAACAAATATAAACCTTTCAAAGTGCAATACTGTATAGATTTTAAGACTTCTGGTTTTTTTTCTGTCATGCTTTATATTGGATTTTTTTCTGTTTGTTATATGATTCCATTTGCTATACTATATAGATTTTAAGACTTCTGGTTTTTTAGCTCGACTTTTTTTTTTTTTTTTTTTTTTTTTTTTTTTAAAGTAGAGGTATTGTTTATAGTCGTGGCGGCGATGCTGTTGCCGTCCGCAAACTTGTACCTGGATCATAACTTTTTTAATTTCTTGGTGTATTGTCTTCATACTTGGCCACCACAACCCTTGGGACAAGACCTTTCAGTAGACTACACTAACCTTGACCTTAATCGATAAATGACCTTGACCTTCAAGGTTAAAAGTCCAAATTTGCTTGTCCATGCTGTTATTGGCTGTAACTTTATTATTTTTGAATGGATTGTCTTCAAACTTGAACATAATAATCTTCAAGGATATCCCTTAAAAATAACCTGACAGACCTTGACCTTCACTCATAAATGACCTTGACTTTGAAGGTCAAATTATTGAACTTTTCATGTTTTTGGCTATTATTTGCTGTAACTTTGTTATTTTTGAATGGATAACCCTTAAAATAACCCGACAGACCTTGACCTTCACCCATTAAAGACCTTGACTTTGTTTTGGCTGTAACTGGCTGTTACTTTCTTTGCTATTATTGAAGGGATCAACTTCATATTATAACAGAACATACTTAAAGACAAGACCTTGTTGTTTATCGTGAATTCACCACGTGCCTTCACCACGTGACACCACCACATGACTCCTACACGTGACTTCACCACGTGCCTTTAGCACGTGACTCCACCACGTGGCACCACCACGTGACTCCACCAAGTGAATCCACCAAGTGACTTCACCACGTGACTCCACCACGTGACTCCACCAAGTGACTCCACCAAGTGACTCCACCAAGTGACTCCACCAAGAAACCATACCTCATGACTCCACCACGTGACACCACCACGTGACTCAACCACGTGACTCAACCACGTGACACCACCTCGTGACACCACCACGTGACTCCACCACGAAACTCTACCTCGTGACTCCACCACGTGACCCTACCACGTGACACCACCACGTGACTCTATTACGTGACTCCACCACGTGACACCACCACTTGACTTCACCACGTGACACCATCACGTGACTTCGAATTGCGTGTCTTAGTAAATTTATATATATAAAATATATAGACAAAACTAATTTGACAAGACAGAATGATTAATTTTATAAAAAGGAAACGTTAATATTTTGTTCAATCATTTCTTTGTTTGCTTTTAGAGAAAGTAAAATGTCGAGCGTTGCCCCCGCCCGGCGGTGGCTCTTGTTTGTTCTGTCATGCTTTATATTGGATTTTTTTTTGTTTTGTTATATGATTCCATTTGCATTTATTATTACCTCTAAGTAACTTTATGTTTTGTTGTGTCACAAATTTTAGCATTTTTTTATATTTTTGTTTTGTTTTATGTCTCTTAAAATTGTCCAACACAATATTTTATTGGATACCTTGGTCTTGTACAAGGATTATAGACAGTGACATTAATTTGTAAAGGGTAACTTTAATCATTCAAAAGTTTTATAGGTTCCAATTTATTTCTGTATTAAGCTGCTGCATTATCTGCTTGAAGTATTTTCAATTTTTCTGATAAATTGTCATCTCCTTTGACAAAAGGGCAAATTATTAATTCTCCATTGTAAACAAAAATAATTGCGAAAGAAAATGATTGTCTTTCTTGACAATATATACCAATTATTTTCTGCCTCAACAATAAAATTAACCATTGTCTCCCTTTAAAATATAGTATTTTAATTATCTTACTTCGAAACTGAATGAAAATAATTGTCTTTGCTAGCAACACATTAAAGTAATATCTTTATTAGCAACACAATATATTTAGTGTCTGTCTTAGCATCACTTAGGAAGAAAGTTAAATAATCGTCTCTTAAACGAGTTGCGTCCCTGGATGAGTGGTTTATGTGGTTTTACTTCAAACCACTTGCTTCTCATCTCTGTAGGTTCGAATCCTGCAAGGGACTTTGAATTTTTTCATGTGAGGAAGCTATATAGCTAAAAAAACTCTAGCATTACAATATAATTATTGTCCCTCTTAGTTGCAAATAAAAATGATGTACGTCCTTAACAAAACAATGAAATTATTGCTTCCTTAGCAACACAGTATGACCAGATGGTAAAGGCCCTTGACTTCGAGCCACCTTTCCCTCACTGCTGTGGGTTCAAGTCCCACCAGGGACATTTGATTCTTTCATGAGATCTCCCTCTACCAGTGTAAAGCTATAATGTCGCTATATGATTGTGTTACAATGTCGCCATATGATTGTTGCACAAACCTTGACTCTCTTAGAAACACAATTAAATCATTGTCTCTTAGAAACACAATTAAATCATTGTTTTGGGTTTTGTAATGCAAATAAAATAGTCTCCCATAGCAACACATAATAGTTGCTCTCCTAGCAACACAATGAAACTATTGTCTCTCAAAGCATTGAAATAGAATTATTGTCTCTTTTGATTGCAAATAAAATAATTGCCATTCTAAGCAACACATTTTAAAATTATTGCTTTCCTAGCAGTACAATTAAATTATTGTCTGTAACATAATGAAATCATTGACATTGGTCTGAAAGAAAAATAACTGCTAAAAGTTTTCATTTAAACTGTAAGGACTGCTTTTACGTTGATTAAGTTCATGCAAGTATATTGTGAATAATTATTACAATGAATAATTATTACAAGGAGATATATCTCACTCAGTGAGTTAATTATGTTTTAATTAGCTTTCAGTTTTTATAAGAAATTAAGAAAATATATTCATGTACTTATATAGTTTCACATTTCATTATGAAATAAATAATTATGTTCAAATTTATATATGCTTCATGTTTTTTGGCTGTTGTTCTGTATGTTGGTTCCTCCCTAACCCAAATAATGTACTACTGTAACGGCTACATGTTTATTTATTCTTCATTTATGTTTCGTACAAGATCAGTTTAATAACAATATACTAATGTAAAGTAAAAAAGTTGTATATCACTTTAAATTATGTTGTAATGATTATCCAATATTACAATTTGATTCAAATACTCGACAGCTTATACCTTCATGATCTATGTATGATTTCCTTTTTATTGTTGATGATAATAAAGTCATATAATATATTGAAATTCAGAATGTGTTTTTCTTTCTTTCTTTATCTTTTAAGCAGCAACATACTCAATATGTACAACCAGTGCAAAGCAAGATAGGAGTATGTTGTCTGATCATAATTTGCCCTGCTGACTATTCAATCAGTTGATATGTTGATATATCACGGAAAGATTACCTACTTCTGGAAATATATAAAGGAAGGAAAAATGTCACAGTTACACAATTTATTACATACTTATAGATGAAAAATTGAGAAATATTGATGAAATAAAATGCGTATTTTTATTTTCCGTATTTTCACTGTAAAAAATTATTTTTCAATGTGGTATAACATATTTTCCGTATTTTCACTGGTGTCTAGACGGACTTCTTTCTTTTAAATTCTGCCAGTACACAACATTTAAGGGAAAGTCTTTCAAATTGTAATGTCAGAAATGAGGAAAATGTATATAATAAACAGAAAATTCAAGCTTTTGTCTGTAACCACATGATTAATTTTCATCTTGTGGCATGAAAATTAACATTTTTCACTCGTGGCTACCGCCACTCATGAAATATTTATTTTCATACCACTCGATGAATATAAATCACGTATCTACAGAAAAAAACTTGAATATCCTCTATATATTTTTATGGTTTATGGTTAACCTTTTATATTTTTTCAGAATAATAAATTTCCAGGTATGTTAACACCATGTATTCAGAAATGTTTCTTTTTTTTGTTCCAGTTTATGACAGTTTATAGATGTAAATGGTGTTATCTTTTTCATCTCCATTTAAAGAGTGACAACTGAAATACAACTTCTTTGTTTCCTCAGACCAACATACAGCAAATGGATTAATCACACCCTGCAGAACAACCTTTCCTGTAGAGCAGTCTGCTGATATCTCTTCTATGACATTTCTGTTCCAGCCACACATAAATAAAGTACCATCATCTGACAGTGATATTCCTCTTGGCTGGACTTTACAGCTATACCTACCTATCACATCACCCTGCCAGTTTAATCTTGTTACTGATTTCATTGCACGGTCAGATACATAGATAAAACTTTTATTACATTTTACATATAATGGTGCTTCAAAAATATTTTTATCATCAATTGTTGTCAGTATAGTGCCATTCATTTTAAGGATCTGGAGTTTTGCAGGATCACAGTATGTCACAACAAGTTTACCTTGGTAACAGCTTATACCAAAAACTTCTCCATTCACTTTGATAGTGTGCTTCTTTTTAAGTTTGTTTGATGAGATTGATATAAACTGTATTGTTTGTTTGTCAGGAAGTGTGACAGCAAGTTCAGTACTGGTTGCTTGTGTGATATCCCATGGTCCATCATCTAGTTGAAGTTGATCAGACACAGATTGTCTGCTGGTATCCACCATCTTTACAGCTTTGTTATCAAAGTCAGTGATGATAAGAAAATCAGGAGTCAGCAGAGTCATTCCGGTTATCCAGCATCTGTCTTTATCTTTTGATGTCTTCACACAGATTTCTCCCTCATGTGAATATTGTCTAGACTTAATTTGTACAGATGGAGATTTTATTTTTAATGTTTTTTGTGTCAGTGTACCCAAATATTTCTCTGTTTTAAGAAAATCTAATATTGCCTCATTTGCTTTAAATTTGTGTTCTTTGATATCATATGATGGGAGTTGTAGATTCTTTCCCTCCACATTTTTCATTGTTTTCTCTGCAAGTTTAAGTTCCATGAAGAGTTTATCAGCTTGTTTTGATGTATTGAGTTGTTTGATGGTGTCTGATGATGTCTTCAGCGATTTACTTATATCTCCACATATTTCTTCTACTGCTTTCAGATGTTTGTTATTTTCTTGTTCTATGACTTTAACTGCATCTTCAATCTGCCTCTCCAGTTCATCTAGTCTTTGGTTGATTTCATGTCGAAACTTTTTAATATTTGATAATGAATCTTTAAGAGAGCTGTTGGATTTGTTTGTCATCTTTTTGGCATCTTCTACAAACTGCTGATATTGGTCAGAAGTGCTCTTTATTGTTTTCAAAATATCTTGACATGCTTTGCTGTCTGTTATATAACCAGAAATATCAGGTATATAGCCGACCTTGCAGGATGTAGCTTGGTGTTCAAGGCTAACACAAACACTGCAGAGTAATTCTTTATGGTCGTGGCAGTAGAACTTGATCATTTCTTTCGGATGTTTGGAACAGGGTGTGGAAAGTTCATCAGACTGGCAAGTGTGGGTGGATGTTGAGGGCTTATTCAGAACTTTAGGCATTCTTGTTGCATCCAGAAGTGTATGATGTTTGGAAAGTTTATGTTTTTTATGGACTTTAAAACATGTCTTACATAAATGTTCCTTGCAATCTATGCAGTAACCATGGGCAGGAAGTCTGGTTCCTTCCTCGTCACAAGCTTGACAGTAAACTTGAAGATCTTCGTCTGATGCCATGGATTGTGTCGAAGATGAAATTTGTTTTGATGCTTTTTTTCCTGGGACAGCCATATTTTATCTGAAATGCATTATAAATATGTTTATTTCAGGTTTGTCTAATTTTCCTTTTTGTGAATATAATAAGAGAACTTAGGCAGTCAATATGAAACAGGGACATTAACTTCCTTACTTACTAATATATCTTATTGAGGAAACAATGATCAGGGAATATCTACAGATTATACCTTGTATACTTTTTGCATCATGGGATTTCAAAAAAAATTTGCAAACATGATAACCATAAGAAGTCCAAATTGTGCTAGAACTAGGTCCGCGCCTTCAGAGTTAAAGTTGTACTATAAGGTCCAGGTCAAATCGGTTCATTGTATGAATTGGCCGTAACTTGATGGATGTTGAAATATTTGTGACTTGTCTTCACCAAATTAACACCCAAGTAAGTGTTACTCAATGCCCACCTCGACAATTTTAAGAACAAGGTCTACATGGAGGTCAGATTTTGTCTGGCTTAGAATTTAATCATTTCATGATGTCCAAACATTGGAAGTAAAAATGTTGAATGGGGGTCACTGTATGATAGGAACACATATGTATATATCAATACATGTATATGTAATATGTTCCTTGACAAATTAAGCTAGATTTATCATAGTGGAATATTCAACATAAAGCTTTCTTTGAAGTTCTTGAGTTTATGGCTTTTACAATAAAAATTTTGATGCCTGATTTAAATAAAGCTATTTAAAACACTGCCATGTAGTGAGAAAAATTGATCTGGTTATCTTAAAGCAACACACCTCCAGATTCATGCTGATTTTCATGAAACTTTGAAAAGGTATTGAACAAATTTATAATATTGTAAAGCTACCAAAAGAATGCAATCTACACATTATCAATGGCACTTACAACCTCTGTAAATTACTATAAAGAGGTCAAAATATGCAAAAATAGCCCTTACTGCGTTAGTAACGTAGTAGAAATATAGTTATACATACTGAAAAATTCGGTCATTAATCGCATATAACATGTAAATTTTTACTAGAATTTTGAATATTTATACCTTTCCTAAAGTGTTAGTACATTTTTCTCAGATTTGACGTTATGGAAATATTTTGCTCATCTGGAGGCGTGCAGCTTTAAAATTAAAACATTATTTAGTTTAAGATTTCAACAAATAAGAATAATTGTACTTTTTGAAAAATGTATATTTTTATTTATTTATTTATTTTTTTATTTTGCCCAGATTTACATTTTTAAATATTTTAATGTCTCAAATAATATAAAAGATATTCATTTTAAACTTGGAATACTTGGTCACTATAAATTTTATAATTTATAAGGGGACAAACAACCTGTAATGTCATTTTTGTTTATTATCTCCCTTTTAATTTTTCTATATTTACATAATGTTTTCAAAAAGCATCACAGAGATTTTTATCAGAATAATGCCTCTTTTTCTACTTAAATGCATTGATCATCCATTCTGTCAAGTACTGTGAAATATGGTCACACTGCTCATATTACAGTTCTTGTTTCTGTTTAGAAATGCCCTTATATTCAGTTCCCATAAAAGGCAAGATTACACTTGTTTAAATAACATTGTTATAAATTACACCACAAACCGTAAAACTGAAAACATAATACCATTTTGATGTAATTAATGCATGATTTTATAATTTAAAGAAATTTAAAAGAAATTGTACCTTTAAAGCTGCTGGCCTTCAGATGAACCAAAATATTTCAAGAAAATCAAACCTGGTAAAAATGTAATATAATTGATAAGAAAAGTGAAAAAAATTCAAGATTTAAGTAAAAACTTACATGCTGTGTATAATTAATGACTGATTTTGCAGTATTTTTCACCATATTTCTACTGCGTTACTAACGCAGTTAGGGCAATTGTTGCATACTTTTACTTATATTTGGAACTTTGCATGGGTTATAAGTTCCGTTGGCAATATATAAAGTATTTTCTTTGTTCAATTCACAATATTTAACATTTTGATACATTTTCAAAATTTTCATTTAAGTTATCATTTATCTGGAGGCATGCTGCTTTAAATAATCCTCAAAATGTTTTTTCAAGTTTTATATCGTTCACGGTATCAGTTGACTGTAAATATTTTGCTGTCGCTATTTGATTCATGGAATTTGATAACAAAATTGACTTCCTTGTCGGGAACATTGATTTATACAGTGTAAACAAATATTTAAGTTTAAATCTAATATGATAATACTCACACATTTCGTATATACATTAAGTAAAATTTATATTAAATGAATTAAAATTTAGCTTTTTAAGTTGAACCCTTAATCTTAATTTCTTTCAGACTATGGCAAAAGGTTTAACTATATAAACTTCAGCTAGTTTATCAGTGTGTATACAATTAATTTAACATGTATATGAATAATTTATACTGTGTTGTTAAAATGTCATGAAAAGGTTGTAAATCAGATTTAATACGACATTATATTTGTCTTAGTAAATAATGCACGGAGGGGTGTCTTATGCCTTAGCAATGCGATAAAATTATTATCTCTCTTAGCAACACAATGAAACCTTTGTCCTTGATCTGGAACAAAAATAGCTGCATGCTTTATATACGATTTTATACCTGTGCAGTTTATAGGTGCATTTTCTATATTCAACTTCAAACCTGTGAAAATTATAGCTACATATTTTATATACGACTTTACATCTGTGCAGTTTATAGCTGCATGCTTTATATACTACTTTACATCTATACAGTTTATAGCTGCATGCTCTATATACGACTTTACACCTGTACAGTTTATAGCTGCATGCTCGAAATACATCTGCACAGCTAATAGCTGCATGCTATATATACGACTTGATATCTGTACAGTTTATAGCTGCATGCTTTATATACGACTTTTCATCTGCACATTTTATAGCTGCTTATTATGCTACTTTATATCCGTGCAGTTTATAGCTACATGCCCTATATATGACTTTACACCTGTACAGTTTTTAGCTGAATTCAATATTTACGACTTTCCATTTTTTGCAGTTTATAGCTGCCCGCTCTTTATACAACTTTACATCTTTGCAGTTGATAGCTGCATGCCCTTTATACCACTTTACATATTTGCAGTTTATAGCTGCATGCTCTTTATACAACGTTACATCTGTACAGTATATAGCTGCATGCTCTAAATACAACTTTTTACCTAAGCAATTTATAGCTGCATTTTTATAAACGACTTAGCACCTGTACAGTTTATGGCTGCGTACTCTATATACGACTTTACACATGTGCAGCTTATAGCTGCGCGCTCTATAAATGACTTTACATCTTTGCAGTTTATAGCTGCACGCTCTTTAAACGACGTTACTCCTGTACAGTTTATAGTTGTTTGCTTTATAAACGACTTTACATCTTTGCAGCTTATAGCTGCATGCTCTATATACGACTTTACATCTGTACAGTTTATAGTTAAATTTTCCATATACGACTTTACAACCGAACAGTTTAAAGCTGCCCGCTCTATATACGACCTTACATCTTTGCAGCTTATGATACCACTTTACATCTGTACAGTATATAGCAGCATGCTCTATGTACTACTCTACACCTGTACACTTTATAGCTGCATGCTCTAAATACGAATTTACATCTTCACAGTTTATAGCTGCGCGCTTTATAAATGACTGTACATTTTTTGCAGTTTATAGTACTATTGCAATTAATAATCACCACTTGAACTACCTAGGATAATACGCACTGTATAATTTATAAACAGTATAATTTATAAACAGTATAATTTATAAACAGTATAATTTACAAACAAGCCTGTGGCTGCTGCTGTAAATACTATAACATACTGAAGTGATACCAAGAATACACATCTTGACTTCATTAATTTCTGAAAAGCCCGTAAGTTGTAATTATCCTTTTCCGTTTATTATTTCATTGTGTAAATTCTGTAAATGCAATTTAAACTACAGTTTTGATCCATGTAAGGACTCTGTAACAAAACATTTTTATGGTTTTTTTTCATAAATCTGATTTTCTTATGACCTCTACAGTGTATCTGTACATTATTTTTTTTCAAATAATAGCCCGCAGGTCAAAATTGGCCCTGCCTCGGAGAACATTGATTTTCCTTTGATGAATATTGTAATAACTAAGAAAAAAGATCTAAATGTACAGATCCCATAGCATCGAGTGATTTTATTCCAACCATTTTTTTTCATAACAACAAGTTATTTTCATAGCAAACATTATCTATCTTACCATTAAATTTCATAGCAAGTACTGACTTCCAATGAAACCATTTATTTTGTACAGCAACCAGTGACTTCTTATGTAACATTTGTTTTCCCTTAACAAAAGCCACCAGTAGTGTTTAACATGTGCACTATTTTAGATACAAAAATAAACTTTGTGGTATCAGTTTAAGATTCAGATTTTATGTCTGCTTTTGTTTATAGTTTACAATATTACATGTTCCTTGTCATTGAGAGTATTAATATTCAGGTGAGCGATATTAGGGCTATGATGGCCCTCTTGCTATACAATTCGTTATCATAGCATGATACTATCAAGAGATATTTTATCTTTATTTAATAATGACTTGACAAACTATTTAAAGATTTTTTATAGTTGATATTTTTATCAAATTCTATAGTATTTTAATTTGATATGAGGTAATCTATATGAATAAATGTTCGTGTTCTTTGACAAATTCAGCTCAGTTTAACATGTTAGAATATTCAACTTCATTAACTAGAAATTATGCTCATTTTTGTGGTCAAGATGAGCTTAAACAGTTATTTTTTAAAAGATTTACCATAATTTTCATTGACCAAAATGATATGAAATGCTTAGGATTAAATAGAAAAAACTGTGCCCTATACTTTACAAAAACTTTCCCACTCGTTTTATTAATGGACTGTTACAGATACATTCTGAAGAATATGTATAAAAAATTTCATTAATCATCTGGATTATTGAAATTTTTGGCATAGAAGAATAAAAAATTATAAACAATATAGCAAATGTTGTTCTTTTAACATTCTCCAGTACTGTGAGCATCATTAACAATTGGATGAACATAATGTCACTTAAAAAATAAAAAAGTATTTTATATATATTTAATCTGAAAAAAGATATTTAAATAGCATTGATTTAGTAATTTTGAAGAAGATGACATTAGTTATAAATGACTTTGAAAAAAAGAAATATTGTAACGTAATAAAAAATCGTTTGATTAAACCGGTCCAGATTATTTCTCTAAATGTAATCAAAACGTTTTTGTTATGAAAAGAATGTCAGAAAATTTAATGCTGTTATGTCTTTAATTAAAAATAATATATTTATAAATTACCTTTAATAATTCTCAAAATTATTGCACTGGTTTGAAATTGATGGAACAGTATTGTCACAAGATGAAATGTTGAAATTAGATTTCTTACTGTCAATCTCCAGGGTTCGTGGACTTTGATATATAGTACATGTTACAAAGATTAAAGTTTAAATCCGAATGATAACAATCATTTATCAAGTTGATTAAATGTATAAAATTTTGATGAAGTTGCTGGATTTCTATAATCAACTATACAACAGTAGTATAGGCGTCGGTTTACCCCCACGACTGCGCATGCGCGGCGCCATATTGGATTCTATTTTTAGAATGACATCATCGTTCTATTTTTAGAATGACATTATCTGTCTATTTTTAGAATGACATCATCGTTCTATTTTTAATCTCCCAGAAGTATACGGAGCTGACTTGTATACCCGATCTTAGGGCGTGAATCGCGGACATTGAGGGTCAGGTCCTCGGCCCAAGACGGGGAGATAAAATTAGTATCCAAGCATTTCAAAATTGAATGGCAAAAATAATGATTCCCTTTGTTTTTATATTTCCCACACTGCGTACAGTGTACTTGACAACTGATTTAATTATTACGTTTAATCAATGTTCTCTATAATACACGTTTAATTTAACTCAAATAACTAACATTTTAAATGTATTTCTTTATATTTTAAATATCACCCTTAATACATAATTTATTTTATACATTTTCAAATAAGGTTATTTACATATTTATTTTAAGTATTTCTTTATAAACATTTAATAAAAATATTACCTCTTTACTCCTTAAGCTCCAGCAACGAAATGACTCCAATATTAAAAGTACTATTCCTTAATGCGCATGCTCGGATCTGATGACGTCACCAATGCAATGGAACAAGCTCCAACATGTCGCGCATCTATTTATTTAAGGCCGACTGGGCGGACAATTCAAAGTAAACATGTCAAATTTGATCCTTTTAAAGTCGCCGCACTGTCTGGCGTGTGTTTATTTAGGGACGGATACATTAACAATGGTCTATTCATGTGCTAAGGCTAGCTTGTTTACATTATTTGGCGTGTGTTGATTTAAGAGCAGATGTGCGGACAAAGGCCCATTCAACTGTCAAAATTAATCCCATTGAAGTTACCACGAGGTTTGGCGTCCTGTTTATTTTAGAGCAGATGTGCGGACAATGGTCCATTCAACTGTCAAAATGAATCCCTTTAAAGTCGCCGCGATGTTTGGCGTCTTGTTTATTTAGGGACGAATACTTTAACAATGGTCTATTCATATGTCAAAATTAATCCCTTTAAAGTCTCCGCGCTGTTTGGCGTTTGTTTATATAAACCCGAATGCGGTATAATGGACATTGATTTTATCAATAGTGTACTTTTTAAGGGTCCCGGTCAGCGAAATGTTTACTTAGTGCAAACAGACTGCTGAAATAAGGATTAAAATTTGTAGAAAATGTTGCAACTTATAGAATTATGACTTATACCTAATACTGTTTTGCTTTCTAGTCTACAAGATGCTGTAATCTACACTTTGAATGAAATTTCATTCCCTTGCGTATATTGCTGAGCAATTTCATACAAAGAAATTAAGCTTCAGACCGGTTTTTCCTCTCTAGGGCAACCGTTTACGATATGATTTTTCAATTTTTCACTACCAATTGAAAGAACATTTTAATACCTTTCATTTACACCCCCCATTTTCGATTCGATTTTCAACTGTTACAGAGTTATTACGTAACAGCGATTTTTAAACCCAAATTTTTACAGTTTACAAAGCCCTTCAATTTATATACCGTTAAAAAGATCTCGACGAGTAGATTCAGAAAATGTATAGGTTTATGGGTCTATCATTATGAGTTACTGAGATATTACAGATATAGACTTAGTGTATTTTAACCACCAATGTAAGATAAAGCGTTATTGCACTAAATTGTTTGAAAATATTCAAATTAGTGTGGCGTCCTTATTTATGGGTCGATTTTATCCATTTTGGTATCAAATTAAAGGTATTCAAGAGTACTTTCAGACGCTGTTGATAGTAAAGTTCATACTGGAAGTCAAAATCACTCATGCGTTAAATGACAATTCTCCGCTTATTTCTGGACATAACATGGGTATGTTGCATATCAAACGAAAGGTCTTGACAAATGCTACAAGCTGAAACTAACAAACCGCAAGTGAAATCAATCATGCGTAAAAATCATTAAAATAACTAAAATAAGCTTACCCCCAGCCTTTACTCCTCGCTATCTAAATCGGCAATGAATGAATCGCTACGGTTAATCGTAATAAATGGAGTAAAAGAAGCGTTCGGATTGGTCTCTGATAAGACAGTATTCTGATTGACTCGAAAGCAGGTTGGACAACCGTTCCTTGCAATGTGTAAAAATACATAAAACAAGTGAGGAGGAGGAGGAGGTGGAGGAGGAGGAGGTGGACGAGGAGGAGGAGGTGAAGGAGGAGGAGGAAAGAAGGTGAAGAAGGTGGAGGAGGAAAAGAAGAAGCAGGAGGGGTAGGAGGTGTAGGAGTTAGGAGGAAAAGGAGGAGGAGGAGGTGGCGGCGGCGGCGGTGGCGGCGGTGGCGGCGGCGGCGGCGGGTGGCGGCTGCGGCGGCGGCGGCGGCGGTGGCGCGGCGGTGGTGATGGTGGTGGTGAAGGAAAGGAAGTTTTTTCCTGTATCTGTGACCTATAGGTATCAAGCAGTTCAACCGATCTAAATGGAGAACAATCCTCACTCAGGAGAATATATAAAATAATACGTCGATGTATGTAAACCTTTCAAAAGACATCCAATGGAACAGAAACTGGACTTTTCTCAATGAACCAACACACTCTATAGATAAAGATTGGAAGTGCTTATCAGAACGGGATATGTACATGGACACCACAAAGATAGGCATTGAAGGTGGTCAATTACACTGACAATACATCATAAATAACAATGCAATATATGTATTCATATCTTTTATTTGGATATACATGTATTTTCATGCGAAAAATAAAAAACAAAACATGTCAATTTTTATTTTATTATCATACAACATTCTGAAACAATAATTATGGTGTTAAGAGTAATGATGCATTTTGTCTAGTAGCTTTAGTTATTGGATTTCTTCCAGTTTCATCATTTTAGACACTATAAGGTAGTCATTGAGCTTTTTTCGTTGTGGATTAAATTTTTTGGCAATGTTTCTCATTGATTTTCCTCTATATCGTTTGATGACGTAGTACGCGCAATAAAGTCCACACACGTTAGACGAAGACTGATGTAGCTGCCCATTATACATAAGGTATTTCTTGTTTAGTATCTTCTCAAAATCCAACCTGATAGCTTTGCGGGCAATTTCCCATCGAGTCGAAAAATTCGTAAGGGCCTTTCGTGGGAAAATAAAAAGCCACCCAATGTTTTCCCGGGCCCATTGCTTGTATCCGTATTGGAAATTACGAATCTTCCTTTTTGTTTGCGAATTTTATCAGCCGCACACACTGTCACTGGATATCCTCGCAATATATTTTTCTAACTGATAATTGTTCATTTTAGTAAGTAAAGTGACTCCAGTCATTGTCCGTTCGGCGCTTCTTACGCTCCGGTATACTAGAATTTCTGTTCCATTTAACTTCCGATTTTGCAATTTCAATCGCTTGGGCCACTGGGCTAACCAAATTAACTGAGGGACGCTGTGTATTTTTTAGCTCCTCTTCCGCTAATTTTAGCTTTTCCTCGGTGGCTTTGAGTTTCGCTTCTAGTGTTTCGACTCTTTACGCAAATGGCCGCTACCTACAATGTAACGGCCTTTATGATCGGCTTTAACGTACGCGTCCCCCAAGTCCTTGAAATGTTGATACCATTTATCTGGATCATCTATATAAGGGACCCATTTCATTTGTTTATAATCGTATACTTCTATGGAACCCATTGTAACGTTGTAAACTTAAGACTGGCGATCCTTCTTTACGCATTTTCATCCTCATCGTTTTTATCGTTCTCATGATTAGAAATGTTAATGTCGTGACTGGGCCATAGAACCTCAAACAGATCTTTTCTTAGTTTAATGGCTTGTCGAATAGATTCCTTAAAATTCATACCGTGTTGATGTCTAAGTTTCCTCGCGGACTGGAAAATTTGCTGTTGAGTAGGGTCCTTTTGCAATACATAAAAGTCAATAAGAAATTGTGCATAATTTTGTCTCAACATTTTCCTCAAATGCGGCAACACATCATTTGCCGCTCGAGAAAGAGCATCATCGAAAGAGTACTCTTGATCTATGTAACTGTTTAGTTGTTCCTTAAATTGTTCCGAATAAGCCTGTCTGAGGGGCTTTTGAAATCTTCGATCCCATATGTCATGACGTGCACGTTCTTCTTCTATTTCCTCTTTTATGCGCTTACCAGGAGGTCCCGTAATGAAAGACTTTCTTTTCATTCCAATATTTTCGTCTTCTGACTCATTTTCCTTCTCCTCCTCATAATCATCATCAACATCATCATTTAAAGTATTGTCAGACAAGGTTTCTTCTCCACTAATCTCATTTTCGGAATCATACGCATGCTGTCTTTTCCTAGCTTGACTTTCAAAAATGTTTTCGCGTAAACGGTCATGTTCTTGAGTAGAGGATTTCAAGTCTACCACTAGATAACCGTGAGGTCTTGATGTTGCTCGTTCGAAGCGTTTCATAAAAATGTTATAGGAGGAAGGATATATTCTTCTCGCTAACGTAGCCACCTGCTGTCTGTCAATGGGGTTATTGAACAATACTAGGTACTGCGTATTCAACGCGATATCTCTGCAGGCTTTTCCTTGAGGAAATAAATTTTGAGTTAGATACACGATAGATATGTTCCTGTGGTGACTGCCTTTGGTAAAAAGATCGGCGATTCTCTGGTCACATTTGGCCTCTGTCATCAAATCGTCAAAAACGATCAGGTTCCTTTTGCTGGCGTTGATGTACTCGGGATTATTCAAGTAGTCGGGGATACCGTGTACAAATTCTATCCAAGGTATTCTACGCTGAAGTTCGTCATACAGAGGTTGCCATTGTCCGAAACACCATATGATGCGTTCAGGCGGCTGACGTACTAGGTTAGATAACAGCAGTGTTCTGGTCCATTCTGT